AAGAAAAAAAATTGCAGTTAAACAATATAAGAAAACCTTTCACATTTCTGAGAAGGTATTAGCTTAATCTGATGATAAAAAATAAAAGGTCAATAAATTGTTGTCATAAAAGATATTGGAACTAACCAGAAAACCCCTGCTTGCTTATTATGCACAAATCCACATTGCATAAAATTTTAATTGTATTCATTGTCCTTTGGGAAAGTTGAAGTAGAATGAGATATAGTAAAGAGAAAGGAAAATAACATTCAAGGATTTGGAGGTATTCTTATGGAAGGATATTTAGTTTTGATTCTAAAAACTAGTTGTTAATTTTGAAATGGTAAACTTTGATTACATGCAAATAAAGAGATTTTTGTCCAAGATGGCAGATTGACTATATATTCTCTCCTTTTTTGAAAACCCATTAAAATTATGTTAATTATTATGTATGAAAATGGAGATAAATCTGTAACACTGACAAAAACCAAAAAGATTTCTTTAGTAGGTGACAGATTCAACACTTTTCCTGAATTCAACAAATGAAGGAAAAATAACTAATAAAGTAAGATGAGGGAAGTCACATATTGGAGCAGGATTTTTCACCCTCAGCAGTATTGACATTTTGGGCCAGATAAGTCTTTGTTGTAGGGAGCTATCTTGTGACTTGTAGGGTGTTTTGCAGCACTCCTGGCCACTAGATACTAGATGCCAGGAGCACTCCTCCTTCCAGGGTGACAACCAAAAAATGTCTCCAGGAATTGCCAAATATCCTTTGGGAGACAAAACTGTCCCTGACCGAGAATCCCTGGACCAGACTATGAGTCACAGAAAAGCAGCCAAGAAGAAAGACTATCTGCTCTAAAAACTTTAGGAGAGACTCAGAACTTAGAAATACCAAATACAAAAAAGAAAGGACATAAAAAGGGATTACAAAAACCAGTCATATTTCTATATACCAGTAAGAAAATGTTCTTTAAAAAGATACCAGTTAACAATGACAAAAAAGAACCTCTAATATTAAATCTAATCAAAGATGAACAAGACCTTTAACAAAAATATTTTAAAGCTTTATTGAAATACAGTAAATATGTATAAATAAATGAAGATGTCAATTATTTCTCTAGACCTCTAGATTTGAAGCAAGCTAAATAAAAATCCCAGTATGAAGGTGTGTGTGTGTGTGTGTGTGTGTGTATTACTTGATATGGAAACGAAAAGGGTCAAGAATAACCAAGACATACCTGGAGAAGATGGTGACAAATTTAGGTGTACTGGGTTGAATGGTGGCCCCCTAAAAAGATACGTCTGTCTGGGAACATGTGAATGTGACCTTATTTGGCAGAGTCTTTGCAGATTCTATGTTAAGGATCTCAAGATAAGACCAATGTGGGTTATCCAGGAACATCTTGAATATAATGATTCTAATCTAATAATCTAATGCCCTTATTGGACTGGAGAAACACAGAGGAAAAGGTCAAGATGGAGACAGAGATTGCAGCTATGTAGCTGCATGTCAAGGAATGCCTGAAGTTACCAGAAGCTGAAAGAGGCAAAGAAAGATTCCTCCCTAGTGCCTTCCAAGGGAGCCAGCACTGTTGATACTTTGATTTCAGATTTCTGGCTTCCATAACTGAGAGAATAAATTTCTATTGTTTTAAGCCACTAGTTTATGGTAATTTGGTACAGAAACACTAGGAAATTAATATAACAGGTATCAACACTTATTGTCAAACTATAGAGGTTAAAACATTGTAGTATTGACACAATGCAAAACAAGCTGATCAATGGAACAGAATAGAGAGCACAGCAACATCCCAATTCACGCATGGAAACTTGATTTGTGGCAGAGATGGCATGGTAGATCATCCAAGAAAAGACTGACTGCTCAATCAGTGGTACTAAGAGAAATGTTTATTCACATAGGGGGAAGAAAGAAATTAAATCCTTAAGTCAAACACATATGCAAATATCAATTCCATGTAGAATAAAAAAGGCTTAAATGCAAAAAGGAAAAATGATATTTTTTAAGACAGTGATATCAGGATCAGAAAGGATTTCTTATACAAACACAAAGAATACTACTAATAATAGAAAAGAATGATGTATTTAACTATATTAAAATTTAGAACACTGTTCATTTAAATATATTATAAAGAAAATGAAAAGCTAAGCCACAAAATGGAAAAAGATTCATTTCCCAAAATGAAGGATTCATTTCCCAAAAAATGTTTCTCTTTTTCCAAAAAAATGTTTCTAAGAATAAATTAAAAGACAAAAATATAATAGGAAATGGCATGTTACACTGTATGTTAAGTAAAAAGAAAAAGAAAAAAAAAGAAATGGGCAAAAAATCATGAGTAGCTATTTATAAAGGACAAAATGCAAATGGTTGATAACCACTGATGAACATTATTAATAATAGGGAAAATGCAAATTAAATTCACAAAGAGTTACTATTATACATACATACATACATACCAGTTTGGCAAAGTCAATTTTGTTGAAAATTTTGATGAAAAGGTAGGGCAACATGAATTCACTCCCTGTTGGTGGTGGTGTCAAATGTCTACAAACCCCCTGGAAAACCATTGATCAGAATCTGCTGAAGTTGAGTCTGAGCAAAACCTATGACCCAGCAAACCATCTGCTTGGTTTATGACCTGAGGAGGCTCTTGCACATGCACTAGGAGTGCATGCACTAACCTGCAAGGATGTTAATTAGCTGCATTGTTCATAATTATAAAAGTGAAAACAGCTGAAATATTTGTCAACCTTAGAATGAATTAATAAATAGTAGTATATTCTTTCTAGGACATTCTACACTGCAGTGAAAAATAAATGATGGATTTATTTTATATAGCTACAGGATTTTTATTTTATATAGCTTTTATTTTACATAGCTTTATATTTTATATATAAAATCCTATTTTATATAGCTATTTTATATAGCTATAGCTACATGCATCAAAATGGGAATATCTCAAAGACATAACGTTGAGGGAAATAATGAAGTCACAGAAAGATATGATTATATTTACATAAACTTCAAAAGAGGAAAAATTGCATACTATGCTATTTGAGTATGCATACCTCAGTGATAAAACCACAGAATGATTAAATCCAAATTCAAAACAGTTTTTAACTATGAAGAAGAGAGAAAAAAGAACATATAGAGGTCTCAGAGGTACTGGTAAAGTTCTATTTCTGAAATTTGGTGGTAGGTTCTTGGATATTCACTTTAAAATGTTTTACACACTTTCTAAAGCATAATGATATCCCAACAGAAATGAATGAAAGAAAAAATACCAAATACCAAGACACATCATTATGAAATTTCAGAAAACAAAAAATAGAGTACAAAAGTTTCTAGAAAAAGAAGAGATTACTTAAAAAGAAACGCAATTTCTCATCAGCTGCAGTGATAGAGTAATAAAAATGAAGCAAGGCCTCAGATGGTCTGAGGGGAAGTGATTTTTCAATGTAAAGGTTTACATTCAAACTGTCATTTGAGTAGACTATTGGATAAAGGGTTTTTCAACATAAAATAATTCAGAAATGTTACCTCCCATGCACTTTTTTTCTTAAGGAAGGTGCTTGAGGACATAACCCACCATATCAAGGAAAATATGAGATGCAAAAAGCAATAGCTCTCACACACTAGAGCAATTCTGTTTGGACCCAGGTTACCTCTCTAAAGTGGACCTAGAAAGCAACCAGTTCAAACTGAAGCAGAAAGCATAAAGTTTTGAGAAAGAAGAATTAAAGAAATAAAGAAATAGTGAGACTTTGGACATATCTAAAGATATAGTAAAATGGTAGAGGACTTAAAATAAATGAGTGAGTTCTACTCAAAATTGCTTTGGGAAATACTCTTGTATGGCAACCCAATTGTAAAAAGCACTGTTTTGTTAAATGACAAACACTATTTAAATAGCTATGGAAATGAAAATACTATTCATTGGTTTTCAATATTTAGAATCAACCTATATAAAGATTAAATAAAATGAAATACTTTCCTACATTGTTAATATGCCAGAGAAAGGAAAGTACGATGAGTTAAGAGTTGAAGTGCTAAAGTCATCTTTTAATTGAGCGAATCATAAATAATCATACTAATTCAGTCTTCTTTCTATAGAGCTATTACTTCATTGTTCCAGAATAACTCTCATAAGCTTTAAGGAGAACATTCTAGGCTAATATACTGGGTTTTGCTAAACAAATCTATGGTCTCCACAGACATGCTTTTCATGGGACAAAAAATGGAAGACTATTTGACTTTCTGCTATGATAGGTAAAGACTTAGCTTGTCTAACATACTTTGAAAATTAGAAATGCCTTGATAAATGCAGTTTTTAAGGGAAGCCATGAGAGGCATAACTAGATTTGAGATTGATATAAAAAATTTTAGACACGGGAGCATCTGGGTGGCTCATTCAGTTAAGCGTCTTTCTCTTGATTTTGGCTCAGGTCATGATTTCAGGGTGGGGAGATCTAGCCCTCGCTCGGCTCTGTGCTGGGCATGGAGTCTGCTTAAAATTCTCTCTCTCCCTCTGCCCCTCCCTGCCTCAATCTCTCTTTCTCTCCCTCTCAAAAAAAAAAAAAATTACAGATGCACATTTGTATGTGATGCTTTACATGCTTTTAAAAACATAATAAATAAAATGATAAGGCAAACATGGCAATCATATATTCTTATGTTAAAAAAGTTTAAGGAAAATGAACCAGTACAGAAAATCAAGAATTGAAAATCAGAAGAACGTCTGTTTCAACCAACAGTTTTCTTAGTTCTTAATTAGTAGCCTACTCTAATCTATATGCGTTTAATTGTATATAACATTATTCAAAATATTTTACATATATTAAGTTCTTTAATCGTCACAACCATATGGCTTAGATATTATCTATATTTTACAGAAGAAGAGATTGAGGCATGGAGAGGCTAGGTTCTTATAGCAACCAAACTGAAAGTGAAACAGAAAAACACATTCATAAACTTCTAAAATTTCTATTAAGCTTACCATTCTCTCAATCTGATGACTCCTTTCTATAAACTCTCTTGAGCTTTTCATTCCATAATTTTCTTTGTATTTTATATTTGTGATTTTAAAAGAGGCAAGGTAATAGAATGACTTATCATCTGAAAGGTAAAATAAACAAAAGATTCATGCTTAAATATAATGTTTTTTGTCCCCCAACCCCAGGAAATAGGTTTACTATAGTGCAGTTTATTTCTTCTTGGTACAAAAGTTATTGTGGACATTTTTCAAATATTTTGTAATTTTATCATTGTATCCAGCTAAAATAGAAAATCCAGGCCTCCAAGTACACTTTCGGAATACCTCTTTTACAGTGTTTATGCATATCAAAATTTTCATACAATTGGACATGCAATATGGACAATAAATATTGAAAGCAATTGCTGAAAGTCATGTAAAAATTATCAGTTTTCTCAAAGAATTGTAACATAGGTATATCTTAGATAAGCTGTATTATGAAGATATATTGAAGAGGCTATCAGTTTTTTCCATGCTACTAATAAGTATTAGTATTTATTGTTTTCACTTTTTGCCTATTCACTTCTCAATTCTCTGCAGTCCATTCTTGACATACCACTGAAACTTCCATTGTCAAGGCCAACAGTCATAATATCGAATAGCTACCTTTTTTAGGGTCTTTTTTCTTTTCTTTTCTTTTTTTTAAATCTTGATTGTTTTGCAGGTTTAATCATATTCCCTGAAACCCCACCTTAGGCTTTGTGGAGCCATATTCTAACTTTCTTCCTCCCTGGCCACACCTTTTCATCGACCTTGGAGAACTCTTTTATTTCTGCTTCTTTCCTTAGCAACCCACTGTTCTATCCTTGCCCTGGCCATGTAAATAACCCTTTCTGGGTGATCCTAACAGTGATGGCCTCAACCATCAACTATTTGTTGATGTTAAAAGATCAACTAAGTTGGGGTACCTGGGTGGCTTGGTTGGTTAAGCGCCTGCCTTCAGCTCAGGTCATGATCCCGGGGTCCTGGGATCCAGCTCCCTGCTCAGCGGGGAGTTTGCTTGTCCCTCTCCCTCTGCCCTCCCCTCCCCCAGCTCATGCTGACCCCCTCTCTTTGGCTCTCAAATAAATAAAATCTTTAAAATAAATCAACTGGGGCACATTTACATTTTCAAGAGTTTATTTGAGCAAATAGTGATTCCAGTTGGGCAACACCAAACCGAAAGTGATTAGGAGTCCTCCACCAACAGGAGTGAGGGGAGATATGTATAGAGAAGATGCAGAAGCAAAGCAAGGAAATTATTTGATTGCCTATAGCTTAAGCAGTTGCCTTATACCGCTTTTGGGAAAAAAAAGGCATATGAAACTCAGCACATGATGTGATTTGTCTTTATTCTAAAGATCAAGCTTTTCACTCTTCTTTCTCATTTTAAAACGATATTGCTTTTAAAGATTTTTATTTATTTGAGAGAGAGGGCAAGAGAGAGAGAACATGGACCAGCAGGGGTAGGGGCAGAGGGAGAGGGAGAAGCAGACTCCCAGCTGAACAGGGAGCTTGATCCTAGGGTCATGACCTGAACCAAAGGCAGATGCTTAACTGACTGAGCCACCCAGGCACCCAAAACTGTATCGCTTTTAGATGTGTCCATCCATGTAATAATGTTTATTGCAAGCTTCATTGGCTGGAAATATGTAACACTGAACACTAGAGCAAACAATAATTTAACATCAATAACAGATTAGTAATTAAAATTTTAATATCATGCAAATAGCATTTTTTATACAAGAAAGAATTTCAAGATATTAAGTCATAGAGCACTTAGGCAATAGAAATGTGACCTGGATACTTACCCTCAACAACAAAATGAGTAACAATACCAATTGCAATTCCTATGATTGCTACAATTGCCAATGTGAAAAGAGCTACACGTATAGGATCCCAAAATTGCTGTCTTCTTTGATATTCAGCCCGTGGGTAATCAGCTTCTGAAAATTCAACTGGTCTGTGATAATAGAAACAAATAGTAAGACAATAAGAAAGTCATTATGGTTCCACTTTATGTCCACTTGTTATGTTCCTCTAAGAAAATAGTTTATACTGCTAATAATAGGATACTTAGATCTTGAAAAGAACACAAGGTTTTAATTTGTATATGCTTTCCCAATACCCCAATCACAATATAAATTTTGGTTAAAGTTCTATCGATGTTGACATTCAAGTGAGAATATCTTCCTACAGCATTTTGTCTGACATATTGGCAATTTGAAATTTGAAGGGTGAAACACAAAGACTTACTTATTAAAAAGGTAGTTTATAAATAAAATTTTCATATTTTAATAAGGGAGTTTCTAGCAACAGTTATACAATAATCTCATCAATTCTACTTGATTAAAAATTAAAAAAATTAATATGAATACTTTTTAAATGACCTTAAAATTTTTCTTAATGATTTCTTTTAAAAGTAGCAACATTGCTTTTGAAACCCTGATCATGGTTCTTTGCATTTTATTAACACCTCCCAATGAAATCACAAATTGTGAATCGTACTTGATAAGACTCCAGTCCCCAAGAAGACTATTTCCACTTGACTTTTACCTATCCCTAATCATGTACTACCTCCCCACTCAAAATATCTTATTAAGATTATCATTTTCCAACTTGAAAGTTGGCATTTATTTACTTTATTTTCCAAATCCTTGAATAACATTCGATATTTAGTATCTTGCAAGTGAGATACTTTTATGTCTTTATATTTTTAATTTTATTTAACAATATTTATTTTAAACTTTATTCATTCAATGAGATAATAGAAAGTTCTTAGAATAGTACCTACCACATTCCAACAATTTCAGGAGCAGTTCTAGATGCCAAGAGATATAAAGATTTTAAGATATACTCCTTGCCTGTCGGAAACTCACTCTTTACAAGAGCATACAGATGTGGAAATGAGTAATTAATATATAGTATGAAATATGCCAAAATAAAACTTGGTGCAAGAATAGAAAGTAATTAACTTTTTGGAGGTCTGTGTCAGGATATTTTATCAAGAAGGTGACATGATTAAACTTTGAGTGTTAAAAGTTCTCCAGGCATAAAAAAGGAGAAAAGAACAGAAAAAATAACATGTGCAACAAAAGGGGGTGTGCTAAGGATGTGAAACGATATTCATTACTAATACAGTGGTCCCTTTTTTCTCACTTGGGATATGTTCTGAAAACCCCAGTGGATGCCTGGAATTGTGAATAGTGCCAAACCCTATGTTTTTTTCTATACATACGTATCTATGATAAAGTTTATTTTATGAATAGGCATAGTAAGAGATTGACAATAATAGTAAAATAGAGCAATTATAAAAATATGCTGTAATAAAAGTTATGTATATATGGTCTCTCTCTTTCAAAATACCTTACTGTACTGTGCTCATTCTTCTTGTAATGATGTAAGATGAAAAACGCCTATGTGATGAGATGACGTGAGATGAATGACACAAGCACTGTGACTAACATTAGGCTACTACTACCTTCTGACAAGTCAGAAGGAGGATCATCTGCTTCAGGTTGACCATAGGTAACTGAAAACAGAAAGTAAAATCTCGAATAAACAGGGGGTGGGGGGGTGCTACTATAGTTAGTACTGGGAATGAAAATTCTGCTTTTGCCCTCAAAGAATTTATGGCGTCCAAAGCATGTGCATGATTGCATGTTTTCTCGCCACTGTTGTACTAGAAAGAGGATATGCTAAGGCTGGTGGACTGATTGGGTCATGAGGAGTCCCATAACCCAAAGTAAAACGTTTGAAATTGACTCTGCAGAAGATGGGGAGCCAATAAAAATTTTAATCAGACTGAGAATTTAGAATAATCACAAGATGAGGATTAGAGCAGGAGTGCAGACAGGAAGACCAGTTTAGAGGTTATTTTGAAGATCCAGGAGAAAGATGGAGAGGATGGTGAGGACCTGAGCCAAGGCTGAAGCAGTGGGGTGGAGAGGAGATGGATTTAGCTCCAATTCTTGATTTTTGTTGGCTGATTACTTAGTTGTGGGATAAGGAAAGGATTAATGTCTCCCTTGTTTTGATGTCCAAGTAAATGATTGTGCCTTCTGGCAAGATGAGAAAGATTAAAGGAAAAGACAGTGATTTCAATTTAGACATCAATGTTGTTAATAATGACCAATGTGCTGTCCTCACACTTGGGTCTGAGCCAAATGGAAAGTACTCATTTTATGCCCTTTTCTCTTTGACTTATTTTATTTTAGTTGTGTCACTGACATCTGTTGGAATGACTCTAATAAAAGCAACTGTTAAGGTTGGCACCACATAGCCCAGAATAAACAAAATTTATTAATATACCCATATACAATACCTCCTTCCTCACCGTAATTGCAGTCTCCATATACAAAATCTATAGTATTAAGTATTCTTGATATTTAGTTTGCGGACATTTTGGTTCACGCATTTTTTTCTCACTTCCTTTTTCCCTAAGTTTTGTCAATTTGTTTGTTTTTACCTGAGCCCTTCAAAATGCAAGAAATGATAAGAATCAAATTTTGTCAAATTTTGGGGGTTATAGACACACAGTAAGTCATGATAACATTGCATCATGGTAAAGAAGATTTTTTTTTTTTTTTAAGATTTTATTTATTTATTTGACAGAGAGAGACACAGTGAGAGCAGGAACACAAGCAGGGGGAGTGGGAGAGGGAGAAGCAGGCTTCCCGCGGAGCAGGGAGCCCGATGCGGGGCTCGATCCCAGGACCCTGGGATCATGACCTGAGCCGAAGGCAGACGCTTAACGACTGAGCCACCCAGGCGCCCCAAGAAGATTTTTTTATTCCTGACATAAATGTTGCTGCTCTTTGAATAAATGAATGGTGAATAAAAGGGACACAGTCTAGATCCTAGATCGGAAAAATCATTTGCATACAAAAGTTAAAGAATTCTGAGACACAACTGTTGGTTCCAGTTCAAGATGGCAACCCAGGAGGATCCTGAGCTTATTTTCTCTCACTGACACATAGAACCTACAGCTACATATGGAACAATAAACTCTGAAAAAAACCTGAAAACTACTTGAACGACTACTGTACTTCAGAAAGTGAGAATGAAACGTCATGCAGGTGGGTAGGAGAAGCTGAGATATAATCTCACCATAAACCCCACCCCTGGCATGGTGATCCACAATGGGGAGGGAACTCAAAACCTGGAGCTTATCCCTGAGGAGCGAAGGGTTTGAATCCCACATTGAGCACCCCAACTTTTAAAACCTGAAAGAGGAGTCCCCAGAACATCTAACTTTGAAAACCAGCCAGGCTCACCTTCACAAGACCCATGAGTTTGTAGCAAATGGAGAATGGCTCTGAGAGAGCTCCCCAGCAACACTTCCACCCCCAGAGCCCAGCTATTTCATTCTTATGACTTAACTCAGGTAGATATAGCAGACTAACTACATTATCCCACACCAAAACGATGTACATAAAAAGTCAATCTTATACTTTTCTCTGCAGACAGCCTTACAAATGCTCTGATGAAGAGAACAAACACAACCTCTAATACAGCCCCCCCTCCAACATGCCACTTGTGTAGATTAACAATTAAGTCTCAGAGTTATGTCTTCTTTTAGAGGCAGGCTCTTTGATGATAAGCACTGTAATCATACCTAAATAAATAGGTGAGAAAACTGGGCTCCTCTCAATAACTAGTTGCAATAAGCTCTAAGATTATTATATCAAAGATGGCTGACTACTGGACATATGACACTTATCAGATAGTTCAGTCTTGAACTTTTAGGAAGTTTATTTAAGCAATTGAAATTGAGTTGCTTTTCCCCAGTTTCTTTTACAGAACTTTTCTTAAAATAGATGCTTTTATAACAGATTGAGTTACTAACTAGCGTAGTTTAAGTAGAGGTTTGCAGAAAGAAGTAGGCCATCTTTATTATATATTTGCACACTGAATGGCATGTGTGTCTTTTATGTTAGGCACAATGTATAATTAAGACATCTCCCAGTCCTTCAGACCTCAGCCTCCAAATATCTTTTAGATTATTGCTCTTAATGTGAGAATCAGTGGAACAAATCTGTTCAAAAACCATGAAATATGGAAAAATTATAGTATTTTTGGCTAGATTAAGGAATAATGAATTATAAATAAATCATAAAAATGAAGATAGCTTATTTGTGTCTAAATTATTCTTATTCCAGAATTCTCAAAGTTAATCCATTTGTATCCTTTTAAGGAGTTAAATTGAAATATATCCAAGCCAGGGCACCTGGGTGCCTCAGTTGGTTAAGCATCTGCCTTTGGCTCAGGTCATGATCCCAGGGTCCTGGGACTGAGTCCCACGTAGGGCTCCCCCCTCAGTGGGGAGCCTGTTTCTCCCTCTGCCTGCCACTTCCCCTGCTTGTGCTCTCTCTCTCCCTCCCTTCCTCCCTCTCTGTCAAATAAATAAATAAAATCTTCTTAAAAAAAGAAATATATGTAAGTGTATGTGGTTCAGGTGGACTGTACCAGTCACAAGAGGACACTTACATGATAAGAGGTATCCCCAAGCTAGAGTAAAACTTCCTTAATCACCAAACACAGCTACTAGATATTATCGAGATGGACTAATTAAGAGTCAGATGGCAAAAGGGTTAATTTTTAAATTCATAATTGGGATTTATTTTCTGCCTGTCATTTTGCGTGTTAGGACTTAAGCCACTAATTTGAGACACTTTGTAGCATGTGTTTTGGTACAGCACCCTGTCTCTTTTTAAACTTTAATCCGTTTTAGTTAATTCAGTTATGAAATTGGGATTTGAACAAGTTCATTATTGAAATACATTGACATTGCTTTTCCCATTTCTAGACTTCATATTACAGTTGATGTGTGTGTGTGCTTGATTCCCGAAGGTTATATCACTGGAAAGCAATTATGCTATTACTGAATAATTATTTGTTGGTTTAGCATTGGTGTTGCTATTGGTGTTAGCATTGATAGACTAATTCTCGGCTTCTCTAATC